TTTTTTTTTTTTTTTTTTTTTACTGTAACTGCAAAACGTATAAGTAAATCAGTTACAAATAGTTTTTTTTTAAATGAATTTGGCTAACACATGTCTGACCAAAGTCACTGCACTGTAAATTGTGTTTTAATAGACTCAGCTGTTTGCTTTCCCCGTCGTCCGCTGACTCTCTCATGCACCTGCTACCCTGTATGAAAGCATGTACGGCATGTGATTGTTTGGGAAGTCACACCTTCCTTTAGGATCCGTCCTCTTAATCTGTAGATTGTCCTATCAACTGCATTCGTGATGACATGCCTTCTCCTGCCACTAAACTATTTATGTGACTTGACATACTGTAGAATATACAGTCTACAGAATATCCCAAGCATGGCCTCCTCTGTTTTTGGACTGCCCTCTGTGGGCTTCTCGGATATTTTTCATTGGGCTGTCTGGCTGTGTGTCCTGTCTTTCCTATATAAAGCGTATTCATTGCACCTGAGGAGGACGCAGCTGCTGAAAAATTTCCGTTCTTTTCCAGGTCCTGAGACGCACTGGCTGTACGGCAACACTCACGTGGTAAGGCATTTTTATACTTATCCTGACAATAATATAAGCTGAACTCTGGACACCAGTATTTTAATTTGTGTGCATGCCTGTGTATCTGATTGCAGTTTTTTACTTCCTTGTCTTCAGAATAGACGTATTTGTTTTGTTTTGGATTGATTTGGATTTTAATTTTTTTTAGTTTTTCAGATTTCGGATCCGAAATTTGATTTGGTTCGTTATTTGGATTTCGTATACGTCCGAATGTTCGTTTCAGAACGATCCACAACAGGAAGTCACATGACCCTGCCTGTAATGCAACCCCCAACAGCCAAAAAAATATCTAATTGACCAGAAAACAGTCACGTGTCAGAATTAGTTTTGTTTTCAATGAAATGTGGACGGATCAGAATTTAATTTAAGTTAAACGAATATTCAGATTTGTTTGCATTTGGACGCATTCAAATTCGGAAGTTCGGATGCATCCAAATGTCCGAATTAAATGAAATTCATACGAATATCCATTCAGAACAAAACGGAATGAACATGTTTGGTTCAGAATACATAGAAAAGTTGTCTGAGAGCTTTTTGTATAACAGTTTAGCTGTACCCCCCTTTCCCCTTGGCTGACACCGGCGCTGTCGTTATTGATACCAACACTGGTGTTGTATCTCTGCCCCACCTACAATTGCCCATTCAGAACACAGCTTGTATATCTATGCCATACATGCACAAGTCACCATGTTTTGTCTCTTTAAAAGACCCTGCATGTACACAAAATGACCTGTTGATCTGCAAAAGTGCACTCACCTTTTAGTTTCTTGTTGTAGGCCGACATAACAGAAAATACGGGTCTATTTGTAAAATAAGAATCATCTAGCAAAACTGCATGTAAATTTGTTCTGTGCGAGTTAGCAAGTTGTTGTGAGAAATAGGCAAAATTGAGGCAAAAACAAATGTTCTTAGTATAATTTCTCTGCTGGCCAAATGTTCTGCCATAGAGATATTATAAAGAACAGAATACATGGGGACAATACCACATTATGGCCACTAGATAGCGCTGAGGATCATAGGAAAGAAATACATGTTAGTAAGGAGACGCTATTCACAAAAGGGTGAAGAGTTTGGAGAAGGCAGGAGAAATTAACAATCTAGGTCAGGACAACATCGGCTATTTTGTCCTAGATTGTTCACTTCTCCTGCCTTCTCCAAACCATTCACCCTTTAGTGAATAGCCCTGACAATGTTCCAATTCAAGAGACCACTGGAGAGAATGAGCATATAATTGTAGCCAATGATGGGGATAGCATAACCATTAAAACTGCAGGAGCAGCAATGGTTACATCTATATCCTGTATTGTACTGCAACCTGTTACCAAAAGAGAAATTACACCAAGAACATTTGTTTTTGCCCCATTTCTCTACTGCGTTCCTGATTCCTGGCCGCTACATTTCTGGCTGTATTGAATTCCAGCTTCCCCTGCTGGCTCCTGTGTTCTGTAATGACGAATATGCCAGTGGGGGGAACCACAAGGAGAGACCGGGTACACACAGCCATAAGTGTTGGACACCTGCAGCAACCCCGGATTAGCAATGCAGCAGAGTTTTAACACACAGGCCACCAGATGTATATAACTTATGGGGTGACTTTAAGGAGGAAACCGAAAGCTCTTATTGCCGTTTACTCCAGGTTTCCGATATCTCCCACCATTATAGGGTACCTATGGTCAAAAACTAAAGATAATATGTATTTCTATATTCAATTTCCATAAGTTCTTTCCCACTTCTAGTACCCTTATCGATCTCAAAGTTTGTAAACATATTTATTGTTGGTACCCATAGGATGTACTTCCTCAATGCAGTGACACAATTTCACTTGGCGCCGTCAATAAGCACCTCCTTGTGTCACCACGCTCACACAGCCTGCCTTCTGAACTACAATGTAACATCTGAACAATGTCAAATTATCATTGCTTGCTGGAAGCAATGCACGATGGGATATGCAATCTTAAGAAGTCAAGATTACATCAAATCAAGCAGCAGGAAAGGAGATTCAAATCACACTGTAAATCCAGGAAGTTGTTGTTATTAGCAGATGGAAGGCAGCACTCACTACATAAAAGGGATTTTTTAAAGTAATCTTTGGTTGCATTATCAAAAACAACTCTAGTATGTATTCCTATTACAATGCTGATGTTATAGTAAATGCTGTGATTTTAGAACTCCTTCGTTGCTTATAGTAACCATGCAGATTCCACGTTGCATTTTCCCAGTACAGCTTTGAGAATTGAAAACTCAATCTTGCCTGGTTGTTGAAGCCAACAGATCCTTTGGTCCAGATTTCAGATATCTCCCCTATGAGGCCCCATTCACACTTAGCGACACTTGACTCGAGCGGATCTGCATGGCCGGGTATAGCGCAACTGTTCGGGCGACGTTCCAGCGACGATCACGCAACCTTCACCGTCAGGCTGCATGCAAAAATAGAAAAATCTCGCGACATCCGTGGGAAAAAGGGTCCCGCACAAGCTTCACGCGACAGCGACGAGCGACATGGATCTGTTCAATAGAACAGCTCCAGTGAAAATCATTGGAAGGCGACTTCTCGCGATATCGTGCGGCAAATTTGCTCAATAACGCGGCGTAAATCGCGCGATTAAACACCCAATGTGAATGGGCACTGGAGGTACCACTAAGAAATAATGCAGAGATATAGAAACGGCAATTGTTAGACAGGCAGTGCTAATCACATCTAGAGGGGCCATTCGGCAGTTATAGTGATTACAGAATAAAAGTTCATGTTCTCAGTATTGTATTGCTTTGGATTGTGATTTTTTAGCATCACTACTACTCGTAGAACTATTTTGGTACAAATACTTTCACCAACAGTATGTACAGACTCTTTGGTTTGATGGCAAAGCAACACATTGACATTGATGCAAACCTCCATAGATGCACACAGTATACCTACTTTCTCCTGGCACTCCAACAGTTGAACAACTTCTCCTGGCACTTTGTTTAGCTGCCAGGAGTGAAAGAAAAGCCCTTAGCCACAGCTTAAAGTGACACTAAACTCAGGAATGAAATCTTAAAAATGTACTCAAGTACCCGAACTATTATCAAAAATGTATTTTATTTGTGTATCACTCGGCTGTAGATCCTCAAATCATCTCTGAATTGGTGCTGGCACTGTCCTTCATTCTGGAGGGTGGCTACTTTTGTTCCCCATGGTCCCTGTGTGTGCTGTAAAGTAGCCACCGCTCCAAGCTCACTCCCCTTATGGACTACAATCTCATGTTTAGTTTACAAATTTGTACTGAGATTGTAGTCCATCACGGGAACGAGCACAGGAATGCATTTTTAAGCTTAAGCTAGTTCTACACTTTTAGATGTTTTTTGCTCAACTTTTGGGCTTTCATGGAAGAGGGAACGGAGGATTCTCCCATCTGATTGAATGCATGCGCTGTTTGGCCAACAATTTCCCGCCGGACTCCTTTGATTATTCAATTGAAGGATATTGGGCAGGAGCCAGCAGGCAGGGCCACCCAAATATCTTGACAAACAGCCCAAAATTCGCTCAGTGTATACCCAGCTTTACATAGGTCCATGGAGTGTCCTGTAATAGTGCTGATTGGCTCACAACTGGTTTGAAGCAAAGCACAGATTTAATTTAACTTTGAGGCTTAATCCCCTTCTCTGGGCAAAACTTAAAGGAGAACTATGAGGTGAGTGAAAATCACTCGGGAAGTGAGTGACACATACCGTCGCTCGCTCACTTCTCGATCATGTCCCTGCAGAGAGCCGTGACTGTCAGTCACGGCTTCCTGCAGGGATTTCCCCTCTCCCTGCTCCAATCCTCCAGCGCTGGCTGGAGGACTGGATGGGGGAGGGGGCGGATACAGCTGGCTCTGCCTCTAGATAGGCAGAGCCAGCTGTCACTCACGCAACTGGGCGAATCCCGGCAGTAATATCGGGATCCGTCCCGGCTGCGTCGGTTTAAGTATATCACACGCTATAGCTCGTGATATTCTGAGCTTTGGGTCATTGGAGGGCGCTAGTTTATGTTCTCCCGTGACCATTAACCCTTTCCCTGCCAAGGACATACGGCATACGGAGGAACAAAAGTGTTCCCGACTGGTCGTATGCCGTACGGACCTGGCATTTACAGTTCTGCTATAAGCTCATGGTCGGTCCAGCCACCATGAGCTTATACTAGAACTGTTCCCCGGACTGTCCCCTTCAAATTAATAGCTGTCTATTCAGGATGGCAGAGCGGCAAGTATACCGGAGCCGTTGTCATCATGTCAATTTTTGGATGACCGCGGCTCTGTGCGTGGCTGAGCGGGGGATCGATAAATATCGTTGATATTTATCGATTAAAAAAGTAAAAAAAAATTAATTAATTAACAAAATAAAAATTATTAATAAATAAAAGATGTGTAAAAAAAAACTAATTAAAAAAAAGCACAACCCCTCCCTCCCCCCACACACATAACATACATGTGCACCATATTGTGGTGTACGCCATGCACATGCGCTGCAGTGCGTTGTTAGAATGCATCGTAGTGCATTATTTTTATTTATTTCTTTTAAAAAAACATTATTTTAACTGCGGCAACGCATGACAAAGCTTTGTGACGCATTGCCATGCGTTGTGATACCTTGTGCTGCAATTAAATATACGCCTGTATCATCTTATCACAACACAAACACCAGCACAACGTAAAATTTACAGTTTTGCATACCTTAATTTTTTGACCTTTTCGCACAGATGAGCGGTGCAGCATTTATGGTGGGCTCTGCAGCTCTCAGGTGGGTCCTGCGTCCAGCGCGTCACTAAGCCCTGCGTCCAGTGCATCACTAATCCCTGAGTCCAGCGTGTCACTAAGCGCTGCGTTCAGGGCATCACTAAGCCCAGAGTCCAGGGCGTCACTAAGCCCAGAGTCCAGGGCGTCACTAAGCCCAGAGTCCAGGGCGTCACTAAGCCCAGAGTCCAGGGCGTCACTAAGCCCAGAGTCCAGCGCGTCACTAAGCCCAGAGTCCAGCGCGTCACTAAGCCCAGAGTCCAGCATGTCACTAAGCACAGAGTCCAGCGCATCACTAAGCCTTGCGTCCAGCACGTCACTAAGACCTGAGTCCAGCGGGTCACTAAGCCCTGTGTCCAGCACATCACTAAATCTGTGTAAGGGGCCACAAAAACACTGCCCTGTGTGTTGCATGGAAAGGGGCATTTAAGTGAACATTTTGCTTTTGCTTTCCCCTGCATGGGTTAAATAGGGTTAAATCTACATGACAATTCATTTTAGGGACATGTGATGCCAGCAGGGTAGTGCACTGAAACATAAATGTTCCATGCCTATAGTTTGTACTGTGCCAAGAAAACACCAGTTTAATGTGCAGAAGGGTTTTTCAAATTGTTCAAAAGTCAATGAAAAAAAGAGATAGAGGTATAGAGATAGAGAGAGAGAGAGAGGAGAGATAGAGAGAGAAGAGAGAATAACATGACCTTTGTGACTAACCTTTACCTTCCATTCTGTAAATGTATTATGACTATGCAAGGGGTAAAACTGCTGCTGTAGCATGTAATTACATGCAAGCTCTAGTGTGCACTCCAACGTTACATGCTTCCTAAAGGGACAACACCTGTAACCCAAATTTTACGGTTTAGTTCACTCAACGCTACACCACAATAACACAACAGCGCTGCTCATAGCTCATATATAATTATTTGTGGCATCCTAAATCAGAGCTTGCTTGACAGCCAGAATCGTCTTCACTGTGTGTTGTTAATGCATGCTTTGTAATACAGAACTGTTACCACATATTGGTGTGGATTTAGGAGGAATTATTAGAAGGGAGACCCACAGGGCTGTCCCTATAGTGAGGGAGCCAGAGATGGTTGCCTCAGGTGGCATCTCAATGTGTTACGTGGCCTTTCAGGCCAGAGCATCCCTGGTTGATAAGAGTTCTTAGCAACCTGCGACGCTCTGGCCGCTGTTTTGTCCAGCTCACTGACGTCACTGGTTGCCAGAAGCTTGGTATCCCGACCAGCTCCTGGCAACCAGTGATATCAGTGAGCTATGGGGACACCCTGGACAGAGCCAGAGGTATTGTGCACCACCAGCTCCCTCCCCTCCCATCTTCCCGGTAATGTGCACTACCAGCACACCACCCCCAGCCTCAGGGTCAGAAACTGTAGGGACACCCCTGGAAACACTGTTGGAGAGTGGTGCTGCTTATAGAATATTTACCTCCACTGCTGACAAAACTAGAGCCAGATGGCAATACCTACAGCTACGTTGACACCTGCACTGTCCGGGGATAAGCTATTACTGCTGTAGAGCTAGTCAACATGACAACCAGGCAGGTGAGCGTTCCTTGGTGTTTAAGTAAGGTGGACTAACATGTATAAGTGACCTGTGCATCTCTTGTATAGCGGAGGACAACTGATCCCTGACCCACCTTTCTGGTATTCTGGGGGAAAGACTACAGTACTAGCTGGTGACTTGTGTTGTTGTAAATAATAGCGCGTGCTGGAAACATTTTATGAACATGATAATGTTAAAAAGTTAAGAAATGGACAAAATCGTACTTTCCCTTTAAATAGTTTTAGTACTTTGTGGTATTAATAGCTCTTATTGTAATCTAATGTTAAAACACCGTACATAACATAATAGAAGTCCCAATAATACAATAATTCACAAAAGAGTCCACCAGATATTTGGCCTTTATTCCAGATTTACCTGTTTATCGAGCTTGAAGACTGAAGTTTGATCTCAGGTTCCAGTTCCAGAGGTCTTATCTCTCTGATAAGTCTCACTGTGTCATCTCTGTATTGCTGTGGATTAGACAGCCGTGTCAATGGACTCGCCATGCAGCTGTTATCAGTTGAAGGGTAGATCAAAATCAATAGGTGACAAAACCTACTTCTGGGTTCAACGTGAAGATCTATTCTACTGGGTGAAAGGTGCATGTAATTAAATGTAAATGCTTTGCCAATATTAGGAGGTGGCTATGAAGTTTAAAGCCCAGCTCAAGACAAAACATTTTTTTTTTACATTTGTCAGAGTGAGAAAGGGTCAGAACTTCCATGTACATTTTTATTTCTGGCTTTATTCCCATTTGGAAGATTTCCTCAATTCCTGTTCTGTCTGACAGTCGCTGAATTGAGGAAATAAATGTAACAAAGCACTCATGCAATGCAAGGGAGGGGATACTAATAAATGTTATCTTACTTATATTAGTAACTTTCAAACGTTACTTGTTACTTGTACATAAAATACCTAATACTTCTCATGGCATGCAGTGCATTTGCAGGGCCTGATGAGATAAAACACAGCTACAAACATATCTGGATCAGTTCATATAATGCATACAGTGTATATTTGATATTGTGCATTATTTCCTTTTTGATGATAAAAAAAATGATTGAATCATTTAAAATCATGTAAAATATTCAAAGACACAATCGGGCTGCCAGTGAATGGTTGTGATTTGAGGTGCCATTGGACAGACGGAGAGCTCTACATAGAATATAATGCTGTGCTGGACCCTCTCAGCCATTTGTGTCAATGCTGCAGAGGGCATGGCCTAACCTTTCAGGCATTTTACTGAGCTCCATTACATTGTTTTCCGTTTCTTTTCTTTCTACCCGCAGCATTCTGATGCTAGTTTGTTCCTCTCACAGTCATCTGCCTTTGAACTGAACCTGTGCTATGCACAAAGGTTTACTAAATTGTGTGTTAACCCAAAAAAAATAGATCATTTGAAAAGATCTACTTTTCAAATGACGAGCTACATGAGATCTACCAACAAGAAAAAAAACCTCCCTCGCTCTCTCTCCTTGCTGTCTCTCCTTGTTCATCCTCCTGGCTGTCATTCCTCGTTTTCTCCCCTGGCTGTCATTCCTCGTTTTCTCCCCTGGCTGTCATTCCTCGTTTTCTCTCCTGGCTGTCTCTCTTCGCTCTCTTGGCTGTCTCTCCTTGCTCTCTCCCCTGGCTGTCTCTCCTCTCTCTCTTTCCTGACTGTCTCTCTTTGCTCTCTCCCCTGGCTGTCTCTCCTCGCTCTCTCTCCCCCGGCTTTCTTTCCTCTCTCCCCTGGCTGTCTCTCCCCGCTCTCTCTCCCGGCTCACCTTGCTGTATTTTGCAAACAGTACAGTTAATTTTCACGTATACACACTCACAGTGGGTGTACATTCTAGTGCCTTGTAGCTGTTAGCTTGCTTATTGGCGCAGTTCATTTTCTATATTTAATATTCTTTGATGTAATACATAGCACTTCAACCACCAGTATCCACCAGAAAGGTGTCAGGGAGCTCGGCTCAGCAGACTCAGGCTAATAGGTAATCATGTGTGCACAGCTAAATAAATATACCAAAATGGAATAAAGGGGCCACCATTCCCACCATTCCTGATCTACCAGCATCAGCTTTGACAGCTACTGGTAGATCACGATGTACCTAATGGGCACCCCTGATGTACAGTATTGGTTGCCATTTGGTCTGTTGATTATTGCATTGCTAGCTTTTTGTTTTATGTTTTTTAAGTATCAAAATACCTGATTATCTTTCCAGCCTGTAGTCCTTTTTCCTGCTTTGTGCAATCCTTTGTAAGCATTGTCACCATCACATGAGAACTCCCAGCCTTGGACTACAGGAGCCTGTAGAGTTCCTTTTTTAGGGTATGATTGTGACCACTTGTCCCCAAATCCATTTTTATTACTGGTCTTGTCACCATCACCCCTTTCGCCAATGTCATAATTCATATTGGCCACATCTTTGAGAAGGGACGTGGCTACTAGTCCTGCATTGGCCATACTTGGACATTATAAGTATAGTACTACAACAGGCCCTTCTATTTGGCACAGATTTTGTTAATGTGTTGCACAATCTTAGCGATATGAACAATTACCTGGGAGGCATTTGACGCAAATAGAAAGCTCTAATTTGGCCAGATTTACTAGAGAGCAATGATTAGATCTGCTGGTGTTGCACCTCTCATTTTAAATACTTCATTACCCCTCATTTATTTGAAAGCTTGACTTTGATACATTTTCTTCTTAAACATTTTGGCTGATGATGCTTATGCTTCCTCATTAAGCAGTTCCACAGGTCGGGGAATTGTGTTGAGTATTACGCCTACCCCACCATTCAAACGAGTGTGATAAAAATGTAATAAAAATCTTATATAAATTTCAATTTGTGAAATGCTGATTGGTGGGATACTGAGGGTGTCATATGTGGTAGTAACAAAATTGTAAAAAAAAATGTTTCTATGATCTCGTGTACATGCATAGTGTATCATTGTATCACCTATATAGTCCCAGAAATTATGCTTGAATGTTGTTCCACCTCAAATATTAGGGATGTGGTGCAATAACCACAGTTGCTGGTCAAGATCTGTTTTTCAATTATGATCTTTCATTGTAGTTCAAACAAGATGGCACAGATCTGGATATTGTGGCTGGTTACGGGAGAAAATTTGGATACGCATTTCCCATGTGGCTTGGAAGATTCATGGCTTCTCTATCTATCTGTCACCCAGACTATGCAAAGACCATTATGTCCAGACAAGGTAAGAATGTTTTTTGCTTTGTTCAAGAATTTTGGTTTATAAAGGATAACCAGTCCTATGATAAGGATTCAGATAGGTTGATGTGGGTTAGGTATGCCTTATTGAATCAGTTAAAAGAGTTTTTGAAAATGTTTGTGCTAATGATCCTAAGAGTTGCTGCTCTAGTATGAAGCAAGTGAAGTTGTAACTCCAAATCTATATACTTGTTCCTAGTCAGTGGTAAAGCTATTAGCTCAGAATGACATGCAACTGACATTTTCAGGAGAGGCTGTTCCTCTTTTGGAACCAAATCCCTCTGTCCCTCTTTTTTCCTCAGTTGTTGCTCATTTTGGTCCAATGCACAGATATCTATAAAAAGGTTATATCACTACTAAAAGTGTTATTCTGCACTAAAACCTTCATCTTATCGTTTAAATATTTTGTTTGCTATAAATGAAAAGTAAGGGTGGAAAGGAAAAATTCTGGAAAAATGGCATTTAAAGTGATATTAAAGTCAAAACGTTTCTAAGCTATTTCAAATGCTGATTAAATCACTTACAATGGATGCTGCTCCTTGATGTTTAAACGTTTTAGCTTCCTGCAGAATGAGCTGGCCTCCTGAGCACTGGCCATGATATTCTGTTTTAGGGTGGCCCCTTTCCCTTCCAGGGTCCTTGTGTGTGCTGGTAAGATGTGTGTGTGAGACATAAAGGCAAACCCCTCCCCTGCTCCCAGCCCCTCTGTTTTCCCTCCTCAATTCTCCGTGCTAGTAGATGGACCTCCTTCTGTAGACTGCTCTGTCCCTTATGATCTTGTAATGGACAGGAAGTTCAGGGAAGCTGAGCTGAGAGAGTTGGAGCTGTTTGGGAAAATTATGTTTGGGCAAACATTTGAAGAAATTCTTTGCTGGGCAATGTATATTTGCGTGATCTGGATTCATTATTGAAAAAATGTTTGAATGTTTACTACTACTTTAAATTCATAATAGTCTGCATAACTGAGGTTGTGTCCATTGCCTAAATACATTGTGCCAGAAGGTGCCTCTCTTTCTCATCTCATAAAGGTGAGTTGTACACTGAACTGTCAAGCTCTGTTTTTTTTTTCTTACAGATCCAAAGGATAACTTTGCCTATTACTTCATCACCCCATGGATTGGTATGCAAAACTTTTTTTTTATCATCAATTGATGTTAGATTAGGATCTGCATACCTATACTTATCATTTGCTTTCCATTCTGTACATTCTGGTTTACTGCTTATTGGCAGCTGACACTTCTAAAAAGAGTCTTCATATCCAAAAACTATATTTAGTTTTGGAATATGTACCTCCATTGCCCCAAATGTTTATATCTCTTAAAGTCATGGACGTTGATGGAGACATCTTTACACCTGACCTCCTAGCTTTGCAATTTGCTGAGTCTTGTTCTTCTTGTTGAACTTTTATGTGGCGTTAGGTGATAATGCAGCTGTAAGCATGGGACCATGGCAGAGATGAAGGCTGGCCTAGATATACAACGAGCCAGGTTTTCATCACAGGAGCCTGTAGGGTCACAAGCTCTGACAACCTAAGTGTTAGGACCATCTCTTTACTACAAAACAATCTCTTATTTTGCTGATCCCAACCTGTCTGCATGTAGGGGTTTTATTTGTTCATCCCACTGGGGACTTTGCAACACCACGTCGCAGCCACACACCCACACGGTTGTAGTGCGGTCCCATTAATTGCAATTATCGAGTTTGGCAAGTGGCACCACCTGTCAAACGCGTTTTGCTGTCTGTTTTGTGCCGCCACGCAAATCATCCTGCGCATGGCAATATATACAGCACCATTTGGGCACAGTGCTGACACTGCAGCAGGTAACTGGGGTGGCGGTAAAACCATGGATCAACCACCTGGTTTCACTGTCCCCTTGCTGCCCATGTTAATGAGGCCTTAGACAAGTGGCAACTTCAAGTGGAACTTTGGACATCTCACCTGCCACCTGTTTTCCTGCCTGACCCCC